TTTATGATACGTTATATACCTATAATAAGCATTTGAATAACTTTTCAACCAATCAAAAAGTTTTTATTAGATGTAATAATGTTTTTATGCAAATACATAATTTTTAAATATGATTGACATTATTTATATCTCTTATCTAATAAGAAATAACAGGATGAAAAAACATCTATTAAACGTCTATAACGCGAGAAATACACGGCACAACCACCAGATGGATATGATAGAGTTTTATTTCTCGTAAATAAAAAACTACACCGTAAGATAAAAGACGTAACATTATGAAAGCTTTATCCGTGTCCTAATGTAATGATTTTTGAAAGCGAGTGCCTAAAATAGGACTTTGATGAGATTTATTTGTACAGTATAATTTTTGTTTTATTTCATATAAATATTAATTCAAGATAGAATGAGCGAGACGGTCATTCTATGTCGATGTTCAAATAAACTTCTTCGCTTAATTCAAGTGACACAAAAACATTTAATCAACTAAATTTTTGATATCTACAGACGTGTTTTAAACGTATTTATGTTAATTCGATGTCTTTTCAATCACTCATTTTTCACTGGGTAAGATTCATTTTTGCGAACTCTAATTATTAAACAATAAGAATCTTATTGAACCATAAGAACATGTGAAAACTCGACTAATAGGAAATAGGAAATAAGGGTTCATAACGATCAAGTTGAATTATTTAAGCATTAAAGATCCAGCTTTGACCGTTATGGGTCTTTAGTTCTATTTCCTACTCGCTGAGTCTTCTCTAATTATTCTCAGACATATCGAGCCCTTAATCTCATTAGCAAAGTCAAAAGGGGAATCTGAAGGGATCTACTCTTATGCTATATTGGTCAATAGCAATTAAGTAGCTATGTACCCATGTCAATTTGGTTCGGACTAACTATCACGTAATTCCATCATGTTCATGACGTCGTCTCGAAATTACGTTCTGCAAGGCTGCATCCCTGTATACCATTGAGCAGCACCGTAGCCATGATTGTCGATGCTCCCGCTAATGTCTTTCCTCCCGTGCCAAGTATCAAGTAACTTCGTTATATTTGCGATATCGACACCTCGATACGTCACACCACCGGAATTACAGTCCGACGATTCACGCGAGCCTCGTCTACCAAGTCAACCGACCTATTAGCAACGTGCCGGGATTGTTTGATTTAAAGCTAACGTCATCCGCCACGATATGAAAAAAAAATAGTTTTATTCGTTTTATATTGCAACACTGATAAAATCCTATGAGCGCTGATAATCGACTACGCTTCTTGGCGTATCCTCGTAGTCATAACCACGAAATTAGGATCTGGAGAACCGCCACCCATGTCTATTATCAACGGCAACCGGTAACTAAGCGCGATGGTTAATGCTCCGTCCGTTTGTGTGGTGCGATGGCGGCGAGTATCGAGTAATTTCATTACCGCCGTGCACGACGTCGACACCTCGACGCGTTCCGCGTGGATTAACGGACCCTGTGGCGCGACGTGAAGGGACCGCCGTGATTCCCCATCGTCCGCTGTCGGCGTTGACTAGCGATGCGGCTAGTCACGGTGGCGCAATAGATAGACCGCGACAATAGTATCGGTCCAACAGTGGGCGTCTATCTCCTGTCGCATCGCTAGCCCCGTCGTTAGTCTCTCAGCGCGCGCGTGCTCGCGCTCGCGTCCTTAATCTGATCCGCGTGCTCCGCAATTAGGAGGCAGCGACTGCGGGGGGGGGGGG